CAAAAAAGGTCAAGCTGAGGTCAACACAAATTGGCTTCTAAGTCTCAAATATGAAAAGTAAAAAGTACCATATGTATAGTCACACCAGAAATTACTGGAACTCTGCCAGAATGATATTTTTACTACTTTCACTACTAACTATTGAAACATATACAGTAATAATATGGACAAAGATTGTCAAAGATGACTAAGAGAGTGGGTTAAAATTGTCTCAATTATCTACAACCACATTTAATAAACAACAAACAGATCATTAAACCACAGTCATCATCAGTGCTGAACTGAGAACCTGTCCAGCATGGACATAAGACAAGAAGCCTGAGCAGCTCTCTGAGCTGAATACCTCACAGACCTCTACTAGCACCAAAACCACACCACCAAGTGGAACAGCCTACACAAACATTGTAGTGACAGGCCTCTGGCGAGCACACAGTCCACTTTAATCAGTTAAATATGCATGATTTACGTCCACCATGAGAACGCCTTTATGTTTCATGCAAATGAACCAGGTCAAAATGTACGAGGAGGCAACCAAAACATGGCACAGATGCAGCGGGAGTCAAACGGCAGCTGCGCAATTAGAACTTCATATTTAACAGGTCTCTCTTCAGGTTTTACCACAGTCAACTTTAACTTTCATGAAAGTCTATTATCAACAGGCGGTGGGGGAGACAAGGGTGGAGTACAGGACATAGCAGCAGTAAGAAAATTTATGAGCATTTCTCTGCTTGAGTTTTTACACTTGTGTTTCTCAGGTTGTGCTGATACAACTACTGTAAGAAAAATAAAGAAACCGAGTTTGAGAAGTCAGCAGAGGAACTGCGCTAAAAAAAAACTGTTTAAAATTTAGCTCCATCAACTTGAAACACAGGCGAGGAGAACAAGGAGAGCCAGGGAGGGAGGGAGGGAGAGAGAGAGAGAGAGACAGAGGTGGAAAGACATAGCGCTAACACTCTACCACCATTTCCCTCTCACAACCTCCCACAATTTCTCCTCTTTCTCCACCATTTCTATCTCCATCTTCCCATAAGGCCACACAGCCCTGCTCCTGCTGGAGAACCACACCAGCTGTATATTACAGTGTCATGTTTGACAAAAGCCCCACTACCAGAAACACGGTTCTATGTTCTGCTGAGAACAAATTATTAGTCTCCTCAGAAATCTACATCTAATCCCTGTTTTCCCTGGTGCATTTTTACAGAGAGGAATGTTTGAGCAGCAAAGTGGCTCTGGTGGAGAACAATATGTCACAGCACACTTCACTAAGCAAACATAGCTGTGTCTTTCAGATACCACGTACTTGACGTTCTTAACGTCCACACAAACACCTTATACCTCACATATTTTAAATATTGTTTCAACGATATCAATAACCCAGTCACCACGGTGATAATTCACCTCCTCCTCACACACCCTGCCTCCTTAACCTCCTTGTCTCTCACACACAGCCCAACAAGGCGTATGAGCTTATTCCCTCCTTATCTATTTATATAGTATATCACAGTGAAGGCACCAAGCTGCTTCACAAACAGTGTTGGAAGAGGAGATAAGGAGGAGGAGTAAGCCGTCCTCATGCACAGACCACAACCTGGATTTGTTCAGACAGGTTTCACTGTCCCAAATGTTGCCAATGTGCAAATGCAGAGATTATGATTCAGCGGGCAGCGGCTACACATGTTCTCTGCCCGTGTGGAAGACAGATGTGTCTGCTGCTGCAGGTGGACGACACAGAGGCAGATCACATTTCAGAGGAGGTACACCTACACAGTATGGACTCCCTCGCTCTCTCCATCCTTTCTCAAACCCACCACTAGTCTCTCTCTCTCTGCTCCTCCTCCACTGTCTACTTTGAGAGCTGAGCACAGTGCTCACCAACTGAAGCAGCAGGGATGAGTTCATATATAATGTGGAGCGATGCAGAGACAAAGACCTGAGCAGAACATAAACTCTCTTCAAACTCTGTGGTAAGAAATGTTTCACAAATGCACTCAAAAACATTAATATTCTTTTCTGTAACTTTTAGGAATAAAATATTTTTAAATAACATTTTTGAAGGTTATTTTCCATTTTTCAAAACAAATTAAATTTACTTTATATTTGCTAAATATAAACTTCAAAAATAGACTTTTATCAGCAAAATTGCTGATATTTACGTTTGAATTTCACGAATTTTATAGAATTTTCACACACATTCTTTACAGTATTTTCTATAAACACTTGTGCAGCGCTGTACAGACGTCACAACGACGGTTTTCATGCTCCATATAACAGTAAGACGACGGCTCAGCGCTACTGTACACGCAGTATTTCCTTAATGTTATTTAGGAGAACGCGTGTACTCATGCAAATGTGTATGTGCCCCAAAGGGTGTACATATGCTGCCACAGCACCGTGTGTGTTTCTGGGGCCCCGGACAGCTGTTGCAGCGACTACATAAACACCTTATTAGCGCTTAGCTTAGCAAGTGTTAATTGGGGTAGAAAGAGTCGACGAGCTGCTCCACTTCCCCGTGTGACTTACCCTTTGTCTGCGCCGAGTAATTAATGCAGGAAAAATTGCCCATAAACACGCACTCATTCACACACGGACACATAAAACTGTTCTGTTGTTGTTGTTGCTGCTGGTGGGGGTGGGTTTTTTTTTTCTGTCGGGGCTGTATGACACAAGCGGAACAACTCCTCTGACCCGCGAATCTTAATTGGCTCAATCAGTTGCGCCGAGCAAGGATCAAAGACGCCGAGCCAGGATCAAAGACGCCGCTACGTCAAGCCGGTGTTCCGGACAACGACCAAAAAGGAAAAAGAAAAATGGATGGCCGCTGAACAACGGCTGCTGGTGGAGTTGTATAACGTTGTTGTTAAACTCGTAATAAAAAAATAAAGCCATACTGGCGCAATAATTAAAGAGTTTGAGTGTCAGAAAGAGGTCTGCTCTTACACTGAAACTTTTGTTTTACTTCCTGTGTCTTTCTGTGATGGAGAATATAGGAGTTAGGAGCTTACTGCTTCCGGTTCAAGGCTTACGCCTTCGTGTGACGTTATGACTTTAAAGGGAAAGAAATATATATATATTTTCTCGGTAAAATTTTAAATAAGTATTTTGATGGACTAAAACTAAACTAAAATTAAAATGTTTTGTGTATTTCATTAATTAGTATTTAATTAATAGACTGATATTAATAGACTGATATTTCCCACAATTATTTAGTAAAATAACTGAGACTAAATTGACTGCCAAAAGGAAATACTGTTTGAACTTTGGACCAGATTTTGTTCCATCATCACATTAGTGACTTCAACTCACCTGTATAAACAGATTGTTGTTTCAAAAAAAAAAAAAAATCCCACAATTCAACATTAATTGAAATTAATTTTATAATTGACTATCTAACTGTTCTGCACAACCTGTGTGTGGTTCATCACACACTAGTCTGGTGTTAGAAGGTGAAAGAGAAACACCCTGCTAATGCAGTCCACATCATGCCACATTCAAAGCCCTGGTCTAGTCCTTACCATGTCCATTGATGGGCTGCCTGGTGGGGAACTTGCCCTTCCGTGGTGTTGAGTGGCAGGAGGAGGAGGCCGAGGCTTGACTGCCACTTCCCCCGCTGTGAGAGTGGATTGTAGCGCCGTTCTTCATCTCCTCCTCCTCCACATCCTCCTCCTCCTCGTGGTCGTCCTCCTCCTGGGAGCTTCCAAAGTACGCCATGCTGTTGGGCAGGGCCATTGAATCTGAGTGCAAAGAGGTGGAGAAAGAGATTAATACACGTCAAGAAGGATGGGGAGTTCAGGAGGAACAGCGGGGAGAGAAGAAGAAAAATGAATTAATCCGAAACTAATAAAAAGCCCTAAGACTAAAAGTCAATGTCTGATTTATTATCCTGTTTGAACACAATTCAGACCGCCGGCTGTCCACCAGTACAAATAATACATCTCTTCCATTTATAATCACAGGAATTACAAACAAATCGACATCAGCTTGTACATGGTGAGACAGTCGTGTAGAAATAGGAACTGCTGGAAGGTTTATGAGTAATGGTGATTGTGCGGCAGTGTTCTTTCCTCTCTTATTATCCTGGTTGGTGGCCTATTGATGCTTCACTAACTGCTGCAGCACATCACAGCGCCATAGTTACATTCAGTGGCACAACGAAACAAAGACACAAACAGACACAGCACAATGTGAGAATGACTTCTCAGACGCCTCTGCAGTTTGGAATAAAACGATTTGTCCTACTAGGTCACATGGTCCATGCTACAGTGTAAATGTTTGGGAACCTCTGACCTAAAGCAAGGTTGTGGATGAAGATTTGTATAAGTAAAGTATATATATATATATATATATGCTTTTTTTTATTTTACAATTTTATTACTTGAGGAAAATGTGCTTCAGGATTATACATGTACCTTTATAGCACCACCTGCTGACAAAAAGAAAAAACTTCATGCTTTGAGGTGCCAAAAGTGTAAAACACCTTGTTCATCACTTTTTTCCCTGGTTTGATGAATTTAGTAGAAGAAGTGCTGCAGCAACATCTCTGGGGTAGAAGTGAAGGATGACTCAGAGCACAGCCCACAGTCTGCTACAGCCAGAAGAGTACATGTATCCAGAAGTTGACAGTTTTATTGAGACGTGCATATTGTACACGTTCTTAAATCCTCCTGGGAGCTTCCAAAGTACGCCATGCTGTTGGGCAGGGCCATTGAATCTGAGTGCAAAGAGGTGGAGAAAGAGATTAATACACGTCAAGAAGGATGGGGAGTTCAGGAGGAACAGCGGGGAGAGAAGAAGAAAAATGAATTAATCCGAAACTAATAAAAAGCCCTAAGACTAAAAGTCAATGTCTGATTTATTATCCTGTTTGAACACAATTCAGACCGCCGGCTGTCCACCAGTACAAATAATACATCTCTTCCATTTATAATCACAGGAATTACAAACAAATCGACATCAGCTTGTACATGGTGAGACAGTCGTGTAGAAATAGGAACTGCTGGAAGGTTTATGAGTAATGGTGATTGTGCGGCAGTGTTCTTTCCTCTCTTATTATCCTGGTTGGTGGCCTATTGATGCTTCACTAACTGCTGCAGCACATCACAGCGCCATAGTTACATTCAGTGGCACAACGAAACAAAGACACAAACAGACACAGCACAATGTGAGAATGACTTCTCAGACGCCTCTGCAGTTTGGAATAAAACGATTTGTCCTACTAGGTCACATGGTCCATGCTACAGTGTAAATGTTTGGGAACCTCTGACCTAAAGCAAGGTTGTGGATGAAGATTTGTATAAGTAAAGTATATATATATATATATATATGCTTTTTTTTATTTTACAATTTTATTACTTGAGGAAAATGTGCTTCAGGATTATACATGTACCTTTATAGCACCACCTGCTGACAAAAAGAAAAAACTTCATGCTTTGAGGTGCCAAAAGTGTAAAACACCTTGTTCATCACTTTTTTCCCTGGTTTGATGAATTTAGTAGAAGAAGTGCTGCAGCAACATCTCTGGGGTAGAAGTGAAGGATGACTCAGAGCACAGCCCACAGTCTGCTACAGCCAGAAGAGTACATGTATCCAGAAGTTGACAGTTTTATTGAGACGTGCATATTGTACACGTTCTTAAATATCATGTTCTGTGAGAGTTGCTTTCAAAAACCTTACTCCCTCTTTCACTCTCTCTTGCTCTCTGACTGCTGAGCTAATCCTAAATCTGTCACTTTCACTCTTCCACAACAGGATTACTGCCAGTCCCTGCCCTTACTGAAGCAAAAATAAAACAAAGATGTTCTCTCACTTTTCTCTTTCTGTCAAACTCATTTGAGTTTCATGAATTCGCCACCGCTGAGAAATCTAGCAGAAGAAGAACGTGCTGGAAGAGGTGGATGGTGTTTGGCGGTGGGATGGTCTATGATGTTACCTCAGTTTGCTGAATGTAGACACACACTCTCATGGAAGGTCATGTAGGCCAAAGCTATGTTATTAAATCCCATAATGTTGCACTCGTAAATCAGTGTGCAAACAGCTGGTTTGGTCTCACAGATGCTGGAATGAAGGGAAACTGAGGGAGCCTTGTGCAAACTGGGAGCCCAGAAGTCTGAGACTTCCTCCTCCTCCTCCTCACACCTTAGACCCCATTTTACCATTTTTCAACTGATCGAGAACAGGTGTTGAGTTTTAAAATAAGAAAACTCTTGGCATGGTGAAGATGGATGTAGAGTAAATATAGCTGTCAAAACTCGGTACTGATATGGACTTTGAACAGAACTCTGTCATTTATCATGTATTTATGATTATCTCCAGTTACTGATACGGGGAGTTTTTGTTTTTTGCTGCTTCTGTGGATCCTTCAGCTGGAACTCCAGCTGTTCATTAAACGATGAACAAAATAATTTCAAATAGTAAAAAAAGGCTCTACTGTTCCAGTAGTGGACATGAGTGTGTGGTTGTGCAGCATCTTCATAATCCTGATTAAATGTGCCTCTTTATGAGCAACAACACACTGGATTTTTATGAAGTTATTTTTTATAACTATATCAAAAGCACTGCATGAACAACAAGTGGAGTTTTTATTACCCTTTAAGGGGCTTCGGCATTTAAAGGCCAATAACCAATGTGAGGTTATATGTCAGTAAAAAATAATGTGAAGCTGCAGAAAAAAAATTTGTTTTACGGCGTGCTGAGGTTACACAGTGAATTCAGGATGAGCCAAACTGGTTATCTAATTAGCCACACAGCTGATGACTTGTCTTTGAAGGAATGCACCGTGATGTTTTATTAATTAGCCTAATTAATAAAACACTGTAAGAAACAATGTGAAAATCGATATTTAATTCTTCTAATTCAAGGATGCAAAGCAAAGCCTTGGTTCCTTTGAGGTAAGAAAATATTTACAGCAATCTGTCACGTCAACTTTCTGCAGTAAAGCTAATATAATATATTTATGTCTCCCAGGGTGGTCTCCTCCAGCTGTTTTCCTACAAGTCCTGGTCAGGGTGAACAAAAAACCATAACATTGTTGTCAGTGACAGAATCCTGGCAGTTGTCGTGAACAAACTGAGTTTTACTTCCAAAAGAAATGGACAGGGTTTAAAATGAGCCGGTCTGTGTAGCCACGGAGAATAAAAAGGCAAATCATGCACATCATCGCAGATGGAAACATGGATGGTTGAGTTGGAAGATCAACGTGCTTGGAATACAGTGGACACTCCTCAGTGGAGCCTATGAACAGAAACCACGTAACATGAAGAGTCAAATCAGGTTAATCTCTTTACTATGTAAGAATTTTCTTTTTTTCATTTTTTTTCTGGGCAGATGCATTGAGTTCTTATTCCCATAGTTCCTATGTCCCTTTTTCTTTTTAATAAATTTCATTATATGAGGGTTAGACACTAATTTTGAATAATATATATCTATGTAACAGAAAAAATGTAAGCAATTTTGCAGTTGGGAGCCTCAGATCCAGTGTGTTGTGTGCCCACAGCTAATCCTGCAGACTAAAACAGGAAAAGACCCATAAAAAGGGGATAAAAAAAGGTAAGAATACAGTGAAGTGAGAAGTTTCCTGTTCAGTCTGAAACAACAAACTGTTGTAAATGATGTGGGTCTGATTAATGACGTTCTCATTTTGCGGTGAGAACGTAAAATTATTTGCACATTGAAAGAATTAATCCAAACTCTAAACTCTACAACTCAAACTTCCTCTTTGAACATTGATTTACTTCACTTCAAGTGCACCAACAGCTATTATTGGCCAGTCAGGGGAACTGTGGTTACAAGTCCATACTTCATATTTATTTTGAAGGATTATTTTAAATGCCCAAAGCTTTTCCAACTCTTAAAGACGGGGGGCTGTGCCGTAATAAATCTCTGTTGTGCCTGGGATCACAGTTTTCACACAGCATCTGTGCCAGCCTCTAATACATCCTAAGAGGGCTGCAGAGAGAGGGGGGCAGCAGATTTCCTGAGCAGATATAGACTTTTACCTGCTCTTTTAAACTCTTAAACCAGGGCAGGAGGCAAACCGTTTAAAGGTGGTGAAAAATGGCCTGTGTATATTCCACATTAACCCACATGGTGGCGGTTTCTCAGCAGGCAGAGACAGATGACCTCATGTTGTCTGTTAAATAACAGGCTCTGACAGGAGTCAGTGTGTTTTTCTGAAATAAGAATCAGATTATTTTAAGTATTTGCAGACATACGCAGCAGAAGCTCTTAAACCTAAACCTTTATTTTATGGCCATGACTTTAACCCAAAACCATAAAACAGTGTTTTGATGGTTGTATCCCCGTCAATGGTACGGGGAAAACACAGCTGGGCAGATGTGGCCCACGGGCCGTAGTTTTCCTGTAGTCCTGTAGCAAATTTGACCTCAAAGCAGTGGCACTTGGAATGTTGGGGGCGCTGTGGTGCAATATAAACTCACGTGTAGACATAAAAGAAAAGCAAGAAGACAACACTAGAGCAAGAATAGAAATGATTGAACCATGAAGAAGAGGTCAATCATGGACAGGATGGACACTGACAGGAACTATCTCAGAAACATACTGCCCACTGGTGGATGTATCGCTAACAACCACACCAAACATGGAAGTCACATGGGAGTATGTTGGTCATCATGTTTGAAATGGACCTACTGTGTGTATTCCTGAATGTAAAATGAGGGTCTTGACTGTCTAATACCAATACAATGTTGATGCCATACTGGTGTTTAACTGATGAAGA